GCCCACACTGTGCCCTCAAGGTGTGGTGTCCCCTGCGTGGCACCTGTGAGCAGGCTGTGAGGAGATGAGGGTGCTCTCCTGGCTCCTTTGTCAGCAGACTACAGCTATTATTAGACAGTGAGGACCTTCAAAAGCAGGTTGAGGTTTTCCTTCAACATGGGAGAGGCTGAGGCAAACCAGCTCTGCTGCTGCTCCTAATGAGGGTGAGGAATTAGGATTATAGAATTGTTTGGGTTGGAAAAGACCTTTAAGATCATGGAGTCCAACCCCAGCACTGCCAGGTCCCCGCTGCCCCGTGTCCCTCACACCACATCTCCACAGTTTGGAAACCCCTCCAGGGGTGGGGACTCCACCACTGCCCTGGGCAGCCTGGCACAGCCCTGGACAACCCTCAAGGGCAAGAAATTGTTCCTCAGCTCCAACCTCAACCTCCTGTGGGGCAACTTGAGGCCCTCCAGGTGACCCCTGTGGCCTTACCAGCTGTTGCTTAAGGTGCCATGACCCTGATGGCTGTGGGGAAGTGGCCTGGCCACATGACACATCTCCATTGACGTGTTTCTGGCTCCCATTAACTTTGGGAATCTTCTTGTAACTCCATGGCTGCAGCCCAGGAACGAGCCCGGATGGTGCCAGAGCCCTTTGGGGTTTCCACCTGGCAGCAGTTCCCCTTTTGGAAAGGAAAATGGAGCTGGTGCCACGACAACACAGCCTGGGTGGCTTGTGTGTGACCTCTGGGGACATGCCCAGCGAGGCTGCAGCCCCAAATCTCCATCCTGGAAGGGAGGATGGGCTGGGGAAACGTTTCCACACTGACATGGCTCATCCCACATGGATCAGCAGTGGCTCTGGAAGAGTCTCACTCCCTCTGGAGAAGTCTCACCCCCTCTGGGAACGTTTCTTCTCTCCTTTTCCTCCAGGTGACCCTGGCCAAAATGCGCTCCCACGTCTCGTCCTGTGCCAAGGTGCAGGAGCAGATGGCCAACTGCCCCAAGTTCGTTCCGGTGGTCCCCACGTCCCAGCCCATCCCCAGGTACTGCCGTGGGGGTGCAGGGGGACGTGTCCCCCCCACCCCTTGCAGACTGCACCAACGTTCCCTCCCGTTTGCCTTACAAGCCCTGAAATCTGAGTGTGTGTTTGGCTTTCTCACGAGTCATCCCAGCAAGAGGCAGCAGCTTCTTCTCCCTCTGGGTGTCTGCAGCCCCTGCACAGCCCCGTGTCTCATAGAATCACTTTGCTTGGAAGAGACCTTTCAGGTCATCAAGTCCAACCCTTCCCCAGCACTGCCAGGTCCCCACTGACCCCTGTCCCTCACACCACATCTCCACGGCTTGGAAACCCCTCCAGGGGTGGGGACTCCACCACTGCCCTGGGCAGCCTGGCACAGCCCTGGGCAACCCTCAAGGGCAAGAAATTGTTCCTCAGCTCCAACCTCAACCTCCCCTGGGGCAACTTGAGGCTGTTTCCTCTTGTCCCTTGGGAGCAGAGCCTGACCCCCACCTGGCTCCAGGCTCCTGTCAGGAGCTGTGCAGAGCCAGAAGGTCTCCCCTGAGCCTCCTTTGCTCCAGGCTCAGCACCCCCAGCTCCCTCAGCTGCTCCTCCCCACACTTGGGCTCTAGACCCTTCCCCAGCAGCTTCGTTGCCCTTCTCTGGCCATGCTCCAGCCCCTCCAGGTCCTTCTTGGGAGTGAGGGGCCCAAACCTGACCCCAGGATTTGAGGTGTGGCCTCACTGGTGCTGAATCCAAGGGAACAACCCCTGTCTTAGTCTTGCTGGCCACACTAGTGCTGATCCAAGTTGGTGGCCTTCTTGGCCACCTGGGCCCACGCTGGCTCATCTCCAGCCAGCAGTTCAGAGTGTGGTGTGAGAGGAGGGACTGTCCAAACCAGGGTTGCTTTGGTCACCTGCTGTTGAGGTGGGAACAGCCTGGGCTGGTGCCTGCAGCGGGTGGGTATCACAAAGGCAAGGAGAAGGGTGCTAGAAGTTTGGAGGGAGTCCTTCCAGTCCCTTCCTGGGGGATCTGAGCTCATCCTTGCTCTCTTTAGCAACATCCCCAACCGCTCGACGTTCGTGTGCCCCTACTGTGGGGCCAGGAACCTGGACCAGCAGGAGCTGGTGAAGCACTGCATGGAGAACCACCGTAATGACCCTAACAAAGTGGTGAGTGGGACTGGGAAGGGCTGGGTCTCTGCAGAGTAACCCTGCTCATGAAGGACAGCTGGGATTCCAACTGGTTTAGTTGGTTTTAAATGCCTTTGATGGGACCTGATGTTGTGAGAGGCTCTTTGGAACGAGCTGCCTCCAGCCCCCTTTGCCTGCAGCCCTGGGTGATGCTGGATTTCCCCTCCACATCCTGCTGGGTTGATGAAAAAATTGGGGTTTTGCAGCTCTGGGCCCATTTCATTGCTGCTGACACAGGCATGGAACTTGTCAGCAGGTTCAGAGCAGCCTGGGCCACGTGCCAGAGGCTCTGTGTGCTGAGGGATCTGCTTCTGGGGGGGCTGAGGGGACCCTCTGCTTAGCACATCCTCTGGAGATCAGGAAGTGGAGGGGACACTACTCACCCCTCCAGGAGGGGGAGGCAGAGGGGTCTGTGCCCCTCGAGTCACAGTTGCCCCTCCTTGCTGCCCTCTGCAGGTGTGCCCAGTCTGCTCAGCCATGCCCTGGGGTGACCCCAGCTACAAAAGTGCCAACTTCCTCCAGCACCTCCTCCACAGGCACAAGTTCTCCTACGACACCTTCGTGGTGAGTACAGCCCTGAGCCAAAAACAGGCTCATCTTCCCCGGGTCCTGTGCTGGGACCAGCTCGTCCCACCCCGCAGCCCCTTGGGATGGGAAGGGGACAGATCCTCCTCTGGGCCTTGTGGGAGGCACGTGCCTCACGTGTAACCCCCCCCGTGGGTGTGGGGCTGGGCTCCCTGCCTGCCCCAGCGGGTGCTTGAGCTGGTGGTGGTCAGACACAGTAGGAAAAAAAACCTCAGAAAGAGAAGAGGAAAATGTTGCTGCTCTCTGTGGAGGTGGATTTCCTCCACGCACTCCATTAAACTCTTCCCCCAAGGAATTGTAACACAAAAGCTCTTTTATTTGAAGCTTCCCAAGCAGTGGGAGAGGAGCAGCTCAGCCTCAGGGCTTAGGGTGGGCCAGCTGCTGTGCGTGGGGGGTATCCATGGCCCTCTTCTCAGGGGGGGTTGCTGACCCCTCCTGTGTGGGGGTGAGGGTGTGATCAACTTTGGCCACAGGGCTCCAGGGGAGGAGTTTTTAGCATCCTGCTTTTAGTGCAAGGCCATTAGACATCAGGGGAACTGACCCTCAAGTGTTTACAGAGCAGCATCTCCAGTGTAGGGAGCAGTTGCTGTGTGGTATAAACCCAAACCAGCGTGCTGGAGAAGCCTGTGACCTTGCTGGAAAGCTTTGCCTCCTGGTTACAGCTTTTGTGTGGGCATGTTGTATCCTGAGAGGACCTTCTGGTGGCCTTCCAGTACTTAAGGGGGGGCCTAGAAGAAAGCTAGGCACAGACTTTTCAGCTTGGCCTGTTGCAACAGGACGAGGGGTGATGGGTTTAAAATCAAAGAGGGAGATTTAGACTAGAGAGAAGGAAGAAATGTTTGAGGCGGAGTGTGGTGAGCCCCTGGCCCAGGCTGCCCAGAGAGGTGGTCGCTGCCCCATCCCTGGAACCATTCCAGGTGAGGTTGGATGATGCTCTGAGCAACCTGCTCTAGTTGCAGATCATAGAATCATTAATGCTGGAAAAGACCTCTGAGATCAAGTCCAACTGCCAACCCAGCACTCCCATGACCACTAAACCATGTCCCCGGGTGCCATGTCTCTACATTTTTTTTAATCCTTCCAGGGATGGTGACTCCAGCACCTCCCTGGGCAGCCTGGGCCAATGCCTCACCACTCTGCCAGGAAAGGAATTCTTCCTCATATCCAGTCAAAACCTCCCCAGGGTCAACTTTAGCCCATTTCCTCTTGTCCTATTGCTGGTTACTTGGGAGAAGAGACCAACCTAGACCTCACTCTGACCTCCTTTCAGGGACTTGTAGAGAGCAAGGTGTCCCCTGAGCCTCCTCCAGACTAAACAATCCCAGTTCCCTCGGCCGCTCCTCACAAGCCACGCTCCCCAGGGAACATGCCACAGCAGGGGGGGCTGGACTAGATGACCTTGAAAGGTTCTTTCCATCCCAAACCAACCTCTGATTCAGTGGTCCCTGCCCACTGCTAGGTGGGGGGGTGGGATTCCAGGCAGGAGAGGGACCATGGACACAGAAACCACCCCAGACCTCCCGTGTTCTGTGCGCTGGGGCAGACGGAGCCTCGCCGCCTTGCATTGAGGAGGGAAATAAGGAGCAGGAGGAGCTCCCTGCTTGATGGGGACCCCGTGGCTCAGTCGTGCCAGCTCTTCTGAGCACCCCTCTCTTCTCTCAGGACTACAACATCGACGAGGAGGCAGCTCTGCAGGCTGCCCTGGCACTGTCTCTCTCCGAGAACTGAGGGCGACCGCGGCGCATCGCTCCCGACCCCACCCCTCTCCACCCTGGGGGCTCAATAGCCCCTCCAAGACCTGCTGCTGCCTCTCTTCCCTCTCCTCTCCGGGCAAATCCCACCTGGTTGAAGAAGGTGGAGTTGAAGAAGGTGGAGCTGGAGAAGGTGGAGTTGGAGAAGGTGGAGTCGGAGAAGGTGGAGTCTCCTCAGCGTGACCCTGGACTGGTGAGCGAGCAGATCCATCCCACCCACTGCTGGGAGGAGAGAGGAGCTGGCACCAAAGGGATCGTTCCTCAGTTGGGAGTTCCCTCCCTGCACACCAAGTAGCTACCTGTATCCAGATCTATTTATTACTAGATGCTTTTGGGCACCATTTGTCCCCACGCTCTCTGTTGCAGTCGAATACGTCCAACCCTTGTTGGGAGCTGCAGCCCTCCTGAGTTTGGAAAAGGAAGAACACAGCACAGAGCATCTTCTTTGAAACTCTACAAAGCTGTTTCCAGCGACGCCTCTGGGGCCTGTCCTCTGCTGCAGGCAGGGGCTGCTCCTTTCCCTGCTGAATCCCAGGGTGAGCTGGTTGTTGCCTGGGTCCTGGGATGGCATCAGGTGCCCGGTGAAACTCTGACCTTCCTCGTTTTGTACCAGCTCTCACGAGACTGAGCTCTTGCTTTTTTTTTCTATGTTGATTGGCCTGATGCCTTTTCCACGTTTTATAGAGGGGGGAGAGAAGCTGTGACTCTTCACACTGCAATATCCATCACTGGGGACAAGAGTATTTTTATGGAACGTTATTAAGAAAGTATATTTTTTAAAGAAAAAAAAAACACAACAGAACCAAAACCAAACCCAAACGAACACGCTGGGGATTTGAAATCCAGTGAGAGGCAGGAGCTGGACCTCAGGCTGGTGGGTGGGGTGGTGGGAAGCACCTCGGTGTCCTCTTGGGTGATTTCTGAGCTGTTCCCTTCCCTCATTGAGATGTTTCTGTGCAGGCAGGTGGTGATGTTGGGGAGGCTCCCAGCAGCACCTCGGTGGTGGGAGGAGCCAGGTGCCCAGCTGCTTTTTGGAGGAGCAGCAGCATCATTTGTGTTCTCCTGCCCACTGACCCTCTCTGGGGTGTGTGGTTAAGCTCCTGACGGCTGAATCCTGCAGGCAGAGCTCTGTGGCAGTGCTGGATGAGGCCGTGGGTGGGGTATAATCCAGAGCTGTGGTTTTCTGGGTGCTTTTCTCTGATAATCTGGAGCAGGCAGGTTACTTGTGGCACTGGGTGAGGGCAGCAGGCGTGCAGGAGGGATGGCTGCCCCTGCGAGGCCCCAGCGCTGGGCATCTTTCCCCCTGAAATAAGGGATTGCATCTCCATCTCCCAGGTCTCTCCCCGGGAATGGGGCACATCTGGGCAGATGTTGAGCTGCGAGGTGCTCCACAGCATCCCAGTGACCTGTCCCCTCTGGTCCCCAGCCCTGCTGCTGGTGGAGTTTGCTCTGCTGGGCCGGGCGAGGGTGCCGGGGAGATCTCCCCTCAGGAAGTCGTGTCCCATCTGAAGGGTTGTTGCTGGTGCTGGGGGAGAGGAGCTCTGGGTGCTGTGACCCCACCACCCGTTGGGGCCACACCCACGAGGGGATGGACCCGAGGCTCTGGGCGATGGACCTGCAGGGAGGGGGTGATGGGTGGTACCTGCAGACCTGAGCAATCCTGCTCAGCACAGCACCCCTCCGTCGTGTCTCCAAGGCCTGGCTCAAGCTCCAGCTCTGCTCTAGCAATACCATCTTGTTTTTTACTGATTTTGGGTGTTTGGGGAGGGCTGTGAGCTCCCCCATGCCGCCAGCAGCCCCACGAGGAGTGGGTGGAGAGCAGGGAAAGGGCTGGAGCTGCTCTGCTCCCTTCCCTCGAGGAGGGACAGGGTCTGCTCTCACCAGGCACCCACCCAGCCTGGGCCACGTCCCTGCTGGGACAGAGAGCGTTGGCACCTCCCAAAAAGGACCCAGGAGGTTCTCCCTGTCCCGTCCTCAGCTGGGACACTCAGCTCCTGACTCAGCCTCTTGTCAGAGCTCTGTCTCCTTCCTCTTCCTCCTCCTCTTCCTTTTTACCCCCCAGCGCCAGAGCCCGGGCAGCAACGGGGGCTTTTGTAAAGCACTTTAAGGCCCAGGGGGAGGGCTCTGCCCGCTGCCAGCCAGGCTGTGCCAGGGCCCCCACCATGCTCTTCAGTGTCACCCGCCACCTTTTTGCCTAACTAGAACTTTTCACGAGATGTACTGGGTTTGTTTTTTTTTTTAAGCCCAAAAATCAACGATGTATTTGTAGAGGACCATTTTTCTCAATAAAGGCAGTTTCATCCACGAGGGGGGGGGCTCTGCGGTGGCTCTGGGGTGTGGGATGGGGCTAGGGGGGTGCCCCCCACCCTGGTTTGTCTGGGCTGTTCCTTCCCTGGACGCAGGACTTGGGTTTTTACAGCTTTGTCCCAAATTTGTCAGCTCCTCCTGTTAATGGTGACAATGACATGGAGTTGGGCAAGGCCATTTGGCCACCCCAGCTTTGGATGTAGGTCCTTGGTGCCACATCTTGTTCCCAAAGACCTCCTGGCCTGTGGGTGTCCCTGGGGGGGTGTCACCCCTGGTGCTGGAGCACTGTTTGGGTGGGTGCTGGAGGAATCTGCCACATGGCCCCTGCTGCTAAATCAGGTCCAGCAGCTGTGCCGGCGGCAGGGGGAAGGAATCCCACCCCCCAAAATTCCTACGTGCCAGCACCACCCCTCC